CTTTTAGAGTTCTAGTCCATGCCAGTCTCAGATTTGTGACTTTAAGCAGGGTGAGAAAGAATGCTGTCAACTTACAGCAACTGTTCTGCGGTGGAAAAGCCATTTGCTTTGGGCTATTCTTTTTTGGTCCTGTTCCCATCAGTTAGAATGAACATGTTTTGATTCTTCATGTATACTTGCTTTACCTTCCAAAAGAAGTAATACTCAGCTTTGTTCAGAGTTGCTATTTTTGCCCATGCAAAAATGTAAATGAACGTGGGTTCAAAAAAAAATTTTTTTTTAACCTTTTTAATCATAAGTGTACTGTTAATGTATTTCTGGTTTTCATTTGGATCGTAAATCTAGGTACTCAATTTTTAGGTCAAATGAGTGATCAATAGGTGGCTTTAGCAGGATGTATCACTGAAAACTACAAAATACTGAATTGCTGTAGAAAGTTTTTAATTTTCTGGAATATGAAAAATTCTTATGCACTCTATTCTTCCTGATACAAATTTAATTACTTTTTTGTACATTGTTTTTCTGACTTTTTTTTTTTATTTTTAAAGAAGAGAGCCGATTTCAAGAAGATAAATGTTACTGAAGAACAACAGACTCACTGCAATGTTCCCACCCAGTGAAGAATTACTTGGCTTCTTACCCATGCCTCTTAAAAGGCAAGCCTTGATGTGCAGTAACTGACAATAGACCAGGCAGGAAACTTTGAGATATGAGGCCTGCTGGAAACCATTGCAATTACCTGCCTGTCTTGTTTCACAGACTGCCTCACAGCTCAGACTAGACTTTTGGTTGTGTTAGAGCTTTTAGATCTAGTGTTGGTGTGAGCACTGCATTCTGCAGCAAGGATTCCAGCTATGTTCATTCCTTTTAGCAGATATACTTTGGGGCACACACGAGTTGACCTAGCTCTGGCTCCCGTCTGTAATCCTTGAGATGGGCAGGGTGTTTTACAGATTCATGTAGAAATTGTAAGACTTGTTATCAAATTACATGCTTTTCATAGCTCTTCTGCATTTAGCAGCAAGTTCAAAGCAGGTATGTAAGCTAATATCCTTCTTGCTGCTTGTTCCACCTGAGATGGTCATTCAGCTGGATACACGCCTTCAGCTACAAACAATCCATGTGCATGATGTAAATGAAGCCTGTCTTTGCATTTATGTAGAAGTTCTTGTGCTTTAAGATTTTTGTTGGTATAATTCAGGGCAAGCAGTGGTCACTTTCAAACTTTTTACCCTTTCAATGGTATCCAGGGAGAAGAGGTCACACACTATATTTTTTGACTAAATGATTGTTGCTAAGTGATCTGAGAGCAGCATATAATGAGCATTCCCTCACCTGTATGGGAAGAGAGGTTGTAGCAAAATGTGAATAAATGATTTGTCTAGGTTTGTTTGAGAAAGTGTAATACATATACTCAGCAGGGGCCGAAGGTAAGATCTTTATATAATCAAGAACTGGTGGCATGTGTGTTTTAAAAGCAAATCTGATTTTAAGGAGTTAGATAACACTATTTTCAGGGTTGGTTTGGGTTTTTTTTTTTTTTTTTTTGAAGGAATAAAAATAATTTGCTCTTCACCTTCAGCACTCCAGCCTTCCCACAGACAGTTTGGCAAATAGACAACAAAATTTGAGGGTGGGAAAGAAGCCATATTGAAAATGGGATATAGAAATTGCCCAAAAATGCAGATAAATGTTGACAATTAATGTTCTCAATTGCAACAGATTAATAAAATAAAGTAGAAATGTCCAAATGTTAGTATTTTTGGAGGGCTTCATTTGGAAGTCTATTTCTGTCTCTATCTTTCAAAAGGTGTTTTTAAAGATAAGTTAAAATCACAAAATGTTTTAAGCCCAACATACCCTTTTTTCCCCTGATACTTGGAAACTAACTCAGTTAAAAAGTCAGTTTTCTTTCAGCTTTTTCTATAGAGGGGAAAAAAAAAAAGTCATCTACATCTTCCCTTCAAATCAAGCCACCCTTTCAATGGATGTAAACCCCATCATACAGTTATATTTTATTATTATTGTTCAAACTGCTTATGAGTTGGCTGCAGTATACACTGTGTCAGCTTGATCTGGGTGAGATATCATATCACTTTTGTCAAAGTGTAGGGACAGAATGTTACTTGTGCCCACCAAAGTAATAAAATCAGAAGGGTTAGTTTAGCTGTTAGCTGAAATTCTGCCTTGCTCTTATTTCACAGCCTTAAGTTTGGCACTAAAGCAAGTCCAGAACATAAGGACGTACTGGACAGGACTTGACTCTGTTCTGCATAGGCCGTTCATGTCTTTGCCCAGACTGACTTTCTAGAGGCAACCAGCTTATAAATTGGCATTC